CCAGAAGACGACGGCGGATTCCTCTTGACCAGCTGTCGATTGGCTTTACTGGAAGATTCCTGCTGATGCTGTTTCCGAGGAAATCTCCTTCGATTCCTCATATGACGGATGAAAGCTCAGCACGGGTTCACCGGAATCGAAGGAGATTACTATTATTTTGCCCTGGTCCTTAATTATACTAAAAGAGACAGGCTAAGATTATTTTATAGTAATGAATCGTGAATTGAATGCAACTCAGCCAGAACCCTCATAAACTTATTAGTAAGCAAAGCAGTGACAGTGACTCTAAGCATCCGCCGCGGGGACAGCGGTTCGGCTCGAAGACTAAAATACTTCCCACCTAACTTTTACACCCACTCGAGCCAAACTCAGAAGTCAACTGCAGCCCGATCTCATTCTTCACATGTGCGAATTATAGCATGATTAGACTTGTGTTTCTGGCCTCCACATAGTCAAGTTAGGATAGAAACAGATTAAGAAATAATCTCAGTGATCAAGTACGCAGGATCCAGGACAAGAATGTAAGAAATGCAAACGATTCTTGGTTTTAATAGAATTGGAGCGCTAATTTCGCTTGAAAAGATGAGTAGACGATATTTGTAAATAAGCCTCGACGCTTCAATAAATGTGTGATTTTTTTACCAAAATTAGGATAAGCCAAAAATGGCCTAATATGTCGTCTCTTCGGTATAAGTGGCTGTAAAACAAGTTACAATACCAAAACAGCTTATTTTGTGACTTTTCATTGTTCGACAAAACGTTTAATGTCATAACGATGTCTGTTATATGTAAGTCGAAAACTACACCCGCATTCACCGGGGTCGTCATGATGCACATGCATCGAGAGGTATATTTCCAAGGAAACCATCCTTTCATTTAGAGAGGTCAACTTAGGAACCCTTCCGAGCTACATTTTAAAGCAAATGCAAGGCCCACTGGCATAAAATCATTTGGAGATTGTATGAAACCCAGCTCTTTCCATATATAAGAAATCCTTGGTCTATTTACCCAACAGTTGATCGGCTGAATCTGAATATTTTTTCGATTCTGGTAAGCCTCCGAAAGATGTTGTTTCAATAGTAAGTTTGACCTTAGCAATGGTCCTGCAGGACAATGATGAAGGTACATATTTTACTAAGTACTCTCTGGATAATGAAGAATAAGGCCTTCGCTTTTATGATCCCCAATAAAAAGTTTAGTAGAAGCAGAATTTAGATGATATAAAAATGAGAAAAGTCCCTTGAGATAAAGGAAGGATCTGGAGTTTAAGAAAATGTGTAACATATTAATTGAATAAGGAGGTTCGTCAAATCTGTGAATCAATAAACAAGGCTTCCCTAGTTCAAGGCCAAAAAAACATTTTCTCCAGTTTTAATCATTTGGGTATTCATTATTCCATTTCAATAGTAAGCCATCTATTATGTGACTATAAGTTAGACGATAAGTGATGAGGCTTACGTATAGGAACGATGGGATATTAATCCTAGAAACAATGCCAATTGCTGGAAAGGAACTGGGTTGACGCATAAGAAGAAAGTCGATGAGGGTTTATTCTCTTAAGTAATTTACATAACTTAAATTCAAGAAGCTCGAATAAGGATAAGAATGTATCTGTTCGAAAGTCGTTATCAACTGGTGACATTGCTCTCATCAAACAAGCATTCAAATACGCATGAATTTGGAAGATCACATAATTGCTGAAAATAGGAGACAAAAGCTGAAATTAATCAACCAAGTGCAATGAATCTAATACTGAAAAATTTGATAATGACTCTGCATGCTCGTTAGTGTCATCATCATCGTCGTCGCCTAAGCGAGATATGAAGACAAAAATCGTTTTTTTTAACAATTTATATTCACTTGTTCGGCATGAACGAAGCTCCAAAAGAATGAGAAAAGACCCCAGGTCAAAGAAAACATCCTACCGGACTGAAAGAAAAGCTTGGCGCGTTTAGCACATTGCATGCATGTGATCGGGTGACAACAATAAGTCACAAAAAATCGGAAAGTTCTGTACAAGTCATGTAGTCAACACATTCGGCAAAATGCTACCAGTTACCAAATCCAAAACGCATGTACATCTCCACTCAGGCAGAAGTATACACATGCGCGTGCGTTCGTATGTGGCCGCCAATGTGCTTTGTATGCTTAGGTAAGTGTGTATGAAAGCAATAAATCAAGAAAGCGCGATAATAGCTAAAACAGATCTGAAGTCAAAAGATCAAAAGGCATCTAAAAAACAACAAAAATATTGCAACAGAAAAGAGATATATGCTGCTTTAATTCGTAAAATTCAGGAGTCAGATCAAAAAATGAGGCGTATGTGATTCCGAGCAAAATTGGAGTGGAGATTCTAGACGGAGATGTCGACAGGACAACTAAATTTTTCCGTCAGCTACCTTGAGAAAAATAGCACCTACTTGGGAAAGGAAGGAAAACCCAAATAACCAGACAAATAAAGCATCAAAGTAGATAAACTTAAGCTTTGCATGAAACATAGACAAGGGTAGCATCGATGCGAATGAGCTAATAATTCACTGGACTGGATATGAAATTGGCTCCCTTGGGTCCATGAGCACTACTAGCTAATGCAGCGCATAAATTAAATATGGCAGTACAAGCTGACTGGCAAAATAGATCAGTAGCCAGGAAGACGGAAGATATACAGTGACAGCTAAATGGAAAAGTAGATCGAGGGATAAGGTGAAACGCAAAAAAGTATGCAGAAGTAAGGTTATAATAGGAGGATCAATTATGAGATGGAGAAATGAACAAAAGAAGACTAAATTAATAGACAGATGAAGGCAAGACAGCTAGGCTTCGGCTAACTCAACTTGAAAATGACTGTCGTTTGACAACTCATTAAACGAACGAAACCTTTCTTTCTCGGTATGGCGCAGTTTATTTTCATCATCTCTTCCCTCCATGTCGTCAACTTCATCTTCCACTATTTCGACCTCACCAGAAATAACATCTGCCTGATCAGTTTTTTCTTTATGTTCTAATCCTGATCTCTCATCTTCCAACTTATTATCCTCCTTCTCTGTGGACCTAGCCCCGATGACGTCTCTTTCCTGTCTGTCGTAGTGTCTACTCTTTAGTTGACGGCTATCAACGACACTAGATTGCTTAAGCAAAGTAGATCTAGCAGAAAGGGACATTTTATCAGGCGGTGTTGAACTGAACCCCCCACTGCTCTCCTGGAACTTGCTGTATGTATGGGATGCGAAGTTGTCATCACCAGTATTATCTTCCCTTCCAATTCGTCTGCCGATCGCATCCCATTCGTCTTGCGCCCCTGTGTCACCATTGTCTTGCGTCAATTCAGAAACACACTCGTCGAGCTGTAGTGACGAGGCCCGTGTGCGCCGGAGCTCAGGCAGGAGACGCTCAATCAGGTCAGCAACTAATACTCGAGCCATAGGACCAGAGACACAGACCGGCGGCAAGCCAAGGCTGGCACGAAGTCGGGAGAAGCGCCACTCGAGCTCTTCTGAGACAATGGTCTGACTGAGCTGCAGTTGGCTTTTGGTAGAGTCGCTCAGTTCTGAAGTCGTCGGGGTAGTCGCGACAGCTGAACAAAGTCCATCCTCAAGGGGTGGAGTATCGACGGGGCAGGCTTCTCCACAGAGGACGACCTTCGAGGCCTCGGTGGTTAGATCAGCAGTCGAAAGGGCAGCCAGATTGAGTCGAGAACAATGAAGTAGGGCCACATCGAGGGCCGTCTGGACAGCCGTTAATGCCTCGATTGCTGAAGCGGCCCCATTTCTCGGCTGGAAGTGAGCCAGATAGTTGGTGCGATTTAGAAAATCCTAGTGCGTGAATGTTGCAAAAGATATAAATATAAATTTAGTCGATCAAAAAGAGAATAGGCGAGATTGTGGAAGAAAGGAGTTGGTTACGTCAAAATGAGGATGGAATGGATGATTTTTCAGTGAGATGCATTAGATTTTGCCAATAAAGTAGGTAAGGCATAAGAGTGTGATAAAAAGATAAATGGGTAAATGAGTAAACGAGTAAATGGGCAGACGGGCGAGGGTTGTATAGTGGGGAGATGAAGGAGGGTGAGTTATAGAGATAAGCATTCTAGCAAATAAGTCGAAGATTTTCAGACGCAAAAATGTTCTTTAAAGCATTAAACGGAATTCTATTAAGAGTGTTATTAGTTTAGGTTGATGCTGATTTTGGTGAGAACAATCAAGTTGGCCCAGGAAACGAGAATTTAAATAGACTAACAATCAGGATGAAATCTTAATTTTTAGAAACCTAACCAGGAGATAATAGGCCTTTAATGAGAGTTAAAAGAAGAGAGTATAGATAAGAAATGTTGGATAAACACTGAAATAAGTGACGTTATTAGATGTTAATCAAGTAGGGCAGCAAAAAAATGCGAAAAACAACAATGATAGAGCTTAAGTCCTTGATCTTGCTGAAAAAGCAGGGACAAGGTCTATAATTCTAACTGGTAGATACATGCCATGTTAATGGCCTTCTTAAGATACTAAAGTTGCAGCAGTGCTACAAAGAAGGTAAGTGTATATGAGATAAAGCGTAGAAGTGTGCATACCTCAATCTCGTAGTTAAATTGTACAGAGAATGCGTAGTTCGAGATACAAGAAAGAGGCCTGATTTAAACCAAATTACATCCGTACAGTTGAAAATGTTCTGATTCATTTGCATATGAATGCTTAAAATCGAGCGAATAAAGCTACTATATAAATACAGTGAGAAAAAATCGAGGAAAATTACTTATGCTCGCGAAATGGTACGTAGCTGCAGCAATACCGAAGAGGTACAGAACAGTGATAACAAGTAAAAAATTGTAAAGATTCAAAGTAGCATTGCTGAGCCGATACTAACTTTAATTTGGAATATATTATAATAATCGAAGGTAGAAAAATAGTGTAGTCTATATTTTGGTCACAAGCTCCTTTCAACGCATTTAAGTGATCTGACTTTGGTTTCGCAACTCGGTCATAGTAAACGCATCTTTCCCGGAGTCCTATACCACTGTGGCTATAATACTTTCCGGCGTCGGATCAAAGGTCGATCTCACCAGAAGACGGTGGCTGATGCTTGTTGAACTAGTTCAAGAATACCTATTATTAACAAGAATGAGTTCCAGCTCTGATTATGTGCATCATGTGATAAACGAAAGTTTACCCCATTTTTACTTGAAACGAAAGAGGATGTCTCGTAGACTGTGTAAACCCTAACGTCGTTTGGCTTTAGCCAAATGAATGCAGCACAACAGACATCAGTCGTCGTATAATGGTTAGATTGACCTTGAATTTTTTTCTTATGGCATTTTCATGCGAAACGAAAGTCTACTCAACAATGTAATATCAGAAGATTAATCGAAAAACAATTACACTTTGCTAATTTTCACTCACACCATAGTCGTGTCCCTTGAGGTGAATTTGGTAAGGCCAAATCACACTCCTCGTTAGCTTCCTCATGTCTCCAAAAATGCAGGAAATGTTGACTCGTATTGGCCCTTAGAAAAATGGTTTGACTTTATTTTCGCAACTCATCCAGATACTAGACAGTCTGATCACAAACAGTAAGATAGCAAGGAGGCTCAGGTCTGAAGATGAAAATGCTGTTACCAATAACAAAGTGTGGAAACATGAGTAGACAGACAGGACAATATAAAGAGATAGGCGCTCCATCACGTGGAAAGAGATAAAAAAATGAAAGCGTGTTCAGGGAGCGTGGCAAGACAAGGCAAGAAAAGAAAACTGAATCTCATAGAGCGCTGCCCATTCGATTTGTAGCTACAAGTCCAAGAGAATATGATAAGATGATCCGCAGTGCAAATGGCAGCTAAGCACACTAAATGGCAAAATTCTTATCCGAGATAAGAGAGAATGCACTGGCGTAGACCCCTTTCTTTTCATAAGGAAGAGTAAGAAAAAAAGGAGAGGGTTTTAAGGAATTAATTATAATTTAAAGTTATCGAGCTTGAAAACACAATGGTAATGATAAATTGCCAATGAGAGTGATTTGCTAAATCTAGTTTTTCTTAAAATTAGTATTATCTCATTGATAAATCCCAAATTAATAACTCTATAATGAAGGGATTTTTTGCTCACTACGATCATTAATTGCAGAATACAAAACAGCCTATGAAGATATGCAAGTGGGCAGTCGGAAATGGAATATAATTCAAAAAAATAAAATACAAAAGAATTCAATGGCGGCAGATTCATCCAGGTTAGAGCGTCTGGTTATATTGTAATTAGTAAAATCGAATAGGGAAAAGTAAGCGGGAACTATTATTGTTAAGAAGAGGGAGAGTCATAGTACAAAAAAGCAGGTGAATCAGAATGTTACTTGGGCCTGGCTACACTAACAACATTCATGAATTACACTCAGATAAGATCAAACCATGTGCTAAGCATCTGCTTTGGTTGCATAACATTTATGTTGAGCAAAGCCTAAACTAAACCATTTTAAGGTTGTTACTAGATTCCGACAATCGCCTATCTGAAACAGCATGGGCAGAGAGGAGGAAGGCAGATGCGCCATATGTGGAAGCTTTTACATCCTCCTTACAGTCAGTTAAGTTCAACGACCTAAAAACTTAAGAGACCATTGCTTCACTTAATTATAACATTATAACAATGAGCTATTAATTTCATGGTAAAACAGCTGGTAACATTCGGATCAGCTCTTCACCAGCTGAGCTTTAATAGGTTGATTTAAGCCTGAAACGCCACGAGGTCTACGGAAGACAAAAGGCCTCTTCTAAAAATTCCTTGTATCAATTGATATTGCAGATATAGCCAATTAATAACTTACAACTATTTCTGGTATATTTATTTTGTCGACTTTACCAGTTTACTAGCATTTATATGCAAATTCAAAATAGTATTTCTGAAAATTATGGATGAATTTAGTGGCTAAAATCGAGACAGATGGACCGACAAACAAATCTTCTGAATCAACCATGCATAAAATCAAAAAATGAGAAAAGTCTATGCATTAATAATTAGTAGGCTGTGTTAACAAAGAAGACTAAGCCACTACAATCAAAATTTGATCAAAGTGCCAAAATAATGCCTATTCTGTATGCCAGTATACAGTTGTCAGTCAGGTTAAGACCGCATTGATGCCTCGCATCCTGGTATGATACAGGCTAACGAATCAAAATCACACCAAACTCACCAGCCGTGACTTGGCTCTCCGCCTGCCAAACAGATCGGACCTAGCA